GGGCAGCCCCCCTCCCCATGGCACCTGAACCTTGCCCCCCCCTCCAGGGCCGATGGGCAGCCCCTCTCAAAGGTGCTAGGTCCTGGGGGGACTTATGGGACCCCCTCTACATGGTACGCAGTGCTGGGGGTCCTGGGGGAAACCCTTCCCCTGATAGCCTGACCCAGGGGACTCCCCCCTCCATGCCTCCATGCTTCCTATTTGGGGAGGGGGCCTGACATACCCCCCTACAGTATCTGTTCCTGACACCCTCCCACTCCATTTCCAAGGGGACACCCCCTGCCCATGGCACTTGTTTCAGGTGGTCTCAGGTTCCCCCAGCCACCCCCCCGCCATGGTGTCCATCCTTGGGGGGCTCCAGGACCCTCCTGGGAGACCCCATGCTCCCCTACCCCCCCCCCATGGTACTTGGTTTTGGGGTCTCTGGGAACCCCCCCCTTCCCCTTGTTACCTTGTCATAGGGAGCTCACAAGACCCCCTCCCCATAGTAGCTCATCCTGGGGGGCACTGGGGAGATCCTGAGACCACCTGCCCATGATGTCCACCCTCGGGGGGGGCCTGGGACATCACCCCCTCCCCCTGGTACTTGATCCTAGGGGGGTCTGGGGACCCTGATCCTGCCATACTCAGTAGGGGACACCCCCCCCTGCTTCCCCTTGCCAACCCCAGTGTGAGGGACTCAGGGGACACCACCCCCCCCAGCCCTGGAGGACCTTAGGAACTCCCACCCAACGGCACCCATCCCTGGGGACCCTGAGGAACATCCTTCCCCTCGATAACCCCATCCTGGGGGCTCAGGGGACATCTTCCTCATAATACCTAGCCCTGGGGAAGCCTAGGGACCCCCCTACTCCATGGTACCCATCCCCGGGGGCCCTGGAGACCCCCTTCCCTTTGCTAACCTCATCCTGGGGGGGGCTCAAGGGATCCCTGCCCCACACTACCCAGCCCTAGGGGACCCTAAGGACCCCTGCAGCCCATAGTACCAAGCCATGGGCCATCCTAGAGACACCCTTCCCCTTGCTAATCCTGTCCTGGGGGGCTCAGGGGACACTCTACCTCATAACACCAAGCCCTGGGGGACGCTAGGGACCCCTACACCTTAATACCCAGCTCTGGGGGGACCCCAGGGACCCCCATCCAACGGCACCTATCCCTGGGGGGACCCTGAGGGACCTCCCTGCCCTTGCTAACCCTGTCCTCGAGGACCTTAAGGACCCCCACCCCATAGTACCAGCCGTGGGAGACCCTAGGAACCCCCCACCCCATGCTGGGACCACCCCACCCCATGGTGTCACCCATCCCCGGGGGGGCTGTGGGTGCTCCCCAGCACCCACCCTGGGGTGGGGGCATCACCTTGGGGCTGAGCCCCCCTTGACGGCGGCCAGGACCCTCGGGGGGAGCGGCATCCAGGGGGATCTCGGAGCCCTGGGAGAGCAGGTCCTCGGAACGGTCATCGGGACGCTCGTCCGTGTTGGTGCTGCCCACGTCGGGGGTGGCACTGTGCGAGGGCTCGCTCGTGTGCCCCTCGTCCCCGTCCCCATCCCCGTCCCCATCCGAGAAGTTCTCCGAGCTGAAGGTCGACAGCGACTGGCGCTTGCTCATGCCCGGGGGCCACCTAGGGAGGGGGAGAGTGTGTGTGTGGGGGTGAGAACCAAGGGATTCGGGGACCCACAGCCTCCCCCTGCACCCATCCTGGGCACCTGCTGATTCCCTGCATCCATCCCAGGTGTCTGAGCACCCATGGATTACCGCCCTCCCCACCCATCTTGGGCATCCAGGCATCCACGGACACCCCTGCACCCATCCTGGGCTGCTGAGCACCCATTGATACCACCCTCCCTGCACCCATCCAGG